CGGTATGCCATATTATCGTGGCGCACCCATGAAAGGTGGTAGTTTCTGGGGTCGTGTGTTTGGCTTTGCAAAGGGTTTGTTCAGCAAAGCTGCACCGCATATAAACAATTTAATTGCCACTGCACAACCTCACATGAAAACAATGGCCAGCAAGGCTGTGGAATCCGTAATCGATAAAGCTGTTGAGCAGGGTAATTTAAACATCAATGTTAAATTTGCAAAACCACTACCAGAAGGTATAGTCTGTGTAGCTATGATGGTCTTCGATAATATTATCGAAATTAACAACAATCGCCAAGTACTTTTTGACTTTGCACCATGAACAGCCTACAAATAGAAACAGCGCTGAAGCAAGATCTCAACGTTCGCGATATTTTTGTTGGGGTATTCGCCAGCGATACATTACCAGTAAAAGAATTTCCAGGTGCATACATATCAAATACTCAACCGTCAGGCGCGGCGGGTGAACACTGGGTAGCATTTTATTGTTCAAAACCCGGTACGATAGAAGTTTTTGATTTATACGGGAAAAATCCCGGAGACTATTCAGATGACATTAAAAAATGGATAAATGATGACTTTGTCATAATGTCAAACACTGAACGCCAAAACACTGACAGTACTGTATGCGGTCAGTATTGTATGTTTTTTGTTTTACTACGTTGCTACGGGTTTTCATATAAAGATGTCATGTCAGCTCTCACTAAGCATAAAGGGGTGAACGATAAATTTATATGCAAATTCATCAACAAGTTCTTCCGACTAAGGACGGTAGTCCGTGACGCAACATTTATACGCGACCTTATAAGAAATGGTTAAGCCGATAGCTAAAAAAGCAGCATCAGTATTCTTTGCAGTACTGGTGACCATGCTGCTGTTAGTTTTCAATACTTTAGAAATTGTTTTCTATTTTGTAAAGTCCTCCAACCGTACACAGTTGGAGGAATCTAAAAAAATTACGAAAGAAGTGTTGGATGTGATGGTGAGTGACGAAGCGACACAAACCGAGTGATTTTTCCCCTTTGTTTTATTCATTTTCCCCACTACCACCACCTTTTTTTCTATCGCGTGCCAAAGGGCAGCGTTGTGAAATCATCTAACATGATACGTTTATCGTACACAACAACTTTTTAGCCAATTGAACAGTATTAATTTCTTGCGTTTTTCCATTCCGCTTGATGTATTCCGGATACACGACCTGCACATGTTCGTCCACACCCTCCAGCAGTCGCTTCAGCTGGTTGAAATCCAACGCCTTGCCGGTCCTTGTCAGCTCCTTCGTAACCGAGTCGCAATCCAGAATATCTTCTGTGAACCCGTTCTGCGTCATCCCCTTCACTTTCATTTCAATGCGTCCCGTATCTGTTTCGTAGCTGTAGACTTTCGGACCGCAGGAGACGAATTTGACAATATGGTTTTCGCCAGCTTCTAGCTGGTTATCCCAGTCACCAAGGATACTACCAGTTTCAGGGAGCCAGTCGTTAGGGCGGTGAACGAAAATCACAGAGTCCGCATCGTAGTAGAGAAGTCGCTCACCCAACTTTTCCATGAGGTCCAGCAGAATGAGACGGGCGTGGCTTGTGGTGAAAGCGGCAACAACAACATTCGTTCCATTGCCACCTTCGTTGTAGTCATCCACTTTCGAATGTGTTACCATCAGACACGTTGGACTCACACCATACACATCATGAATCTCAATAGCTTTTGAACGACACAGATCAGAATATCGTTTGGGATCGTACACGAACTCCGTGGAATTCATATCGCAGCTCTGGCCAGTCTTACCCCAAAGACTGTTCAGCGCGACTTTGGAGGTGCTCTTCTTTCCGGCATCAAAAACCATGGCGTCAGGGTCCAGGATGGTACCTTCACGGTCTTTGACCATCTGAATGAAATTTGCCTTCTTCTCATCCGTATCGCACCACGCAGGCCAACCGCTTGCTTCCATTTTCACTTTCAGAAACTTATTCATACACGCCGCAAAGAGTTTGGTGTCCGTCTGCGCCAGTGCCAGACTTCGTACATTTCGACAACCCGGTGCCCCACATCCACCGCATGATGTAGCTCTGGTGTGCACCAAATACCTTCGAAAGATCGTTCTTCATCGGAATGGACACAGCGGCTGGTCACTTTCTCCATTGCGCATTTTTTGCACAGAACAAACATTAGTTTGTCGTTAATCGTCAACGGTAAGACTGGATACAGGCATTCATCCGGTGCAGCAACTTCACAGTAAACAAGCCCGAAATAATCTTTGACATCCTTAAAATTGGATATGATTATTTCAGGTTGACCAACTGGTTACGCCTTCGTTTTGTTCACAAAGGGATAGAGGCTGACAACGTCAAAGTGTCTAATTTCTTCCCCATTTTTTACTTCGTAAAACAGGCGGCTGGCGTTTGTTCTTCCACCTTTGAAGGCGTCACGTAGAATCATTGGCTCTCGAATGTTCGTGTGCTGCAAAAATCCGGCAATAAATGGATCTTCCCGTTCTTTGAGCCACTCGCAACCCCATTTCATTTCCACAGTGTACCCCTGGCTCTCGAGGAAACGCTCACGTTCTAGGTACTCTTCCTAGACTTCTCGCATTTTTTTCTTGGAGTACGGGACCACATCGTTTTCGTCGGTGCAAGCGGGATGCCCATGGAAAACACAGCCATTGTACTCGTAAACGGTTTGGATTTCCTCATCGAGGCCGTCTACAAAGTACCGACCAATCTTAACTTCTTTTCCGCTTCGACCATGGCGTATGCGCCCATTAGCACTCATGTTCTCCCATTCTAGCCATTGCGCGGCTTGGATACTGGTGCGTCGGTTTCTGTGAGGACCATGACTGGCTAAGGCGGCGTCTTTGTTTTCTTGGAGGTGAAATGTTTTTCAGTAACGATAGCAGGCGGCGGGCATGGTTATGCTTTCCATGGGATTCAGCGAAGTGAGCGTACGGTAGTCGTTGATAATTTTCAACGCACAGAGCCGCAAGACCGTAACATCGTTCGAGCAATACGTCATCATTTGCTTGCGAAAATTGAATACTCCATTAGCGGCGGCTTTTGCTTCAGCGTGCCACTTGAGGAATTCGGCTTTTTGCTGCTTCCGCATCCCATCAATCATATACTGATCCGGCTCAAGCCAAGGCAAATCGGCTTTATCCCAATTCTCAGGCTTATTAAACCGATGAGGGAAATCGCCTTTTTGCACTTCAAGCTCCAAACCAACCGCCTTGGTTAGCTGACTTAACCTCAATGCCAGAAAGTTGAGTGTATCTCGGGATTGGATGCCAAGTTTGCGGTACTTCAGTTCCAGCACTTGCGTCCCCCGTTTGAAGACCTCCACCCCTTTCAACCCGTTATCCAACATATACTTCAGGACAAAATGCCCATCGTAGCCCCGGAAATTGTGTGCGATAATGAGCTAAAGTGTAAAAGGTAGATTATAGTTGCCAGACATGCATGTGTGCCTGCGTGTGTTCCCTGTACACTTTGACTCCTGTTTCCGGGCGGGCTGGTACATACAGATAGTTTCTATTGTAGCCTGTAGGGATTATAATTTGCCAAGTATCCATTTTACGTATTATTATGCAATGAATAATTTAGCGAATACATACCGGGTATGTCGAAAAATTATTTCGCGGACAAATTTGTGGAGGCGTTTCGTAGGTTGCATTTACGAAATTTCGACTCGATAATAATACTAAAGTACATATATCACCTTCTAACAAAAAGCAAACTTAAACTGTATTTTTAAACTTTGAAATCCTTTAATATGTCTTATTTTATGTTTCAGTAAAAATCTGTTGTTTAAAAACTTTTAAAGGAAACTCTTCAATGTTTTCGGATTACAGTATACCCAGTTTCAACGTTCAACGACTTCTAACCAACTAAGTTAAAATCGAAACAATACACTGTTCTTTGTTTCAGAATTTATATATCTGAATCTGAATATATCGCTGGCGAAAGCGCTGAGAATTTGGTTAAATGAAATTGAGACTGGCGATGCATTTTATGTTGATTGTGGGCCGGTAGCTGCAGTGACTGCACATTATTGATCGAATTTTCAGTGTGCATCAACGTGAGTGGTAAATAAGGTAAGTAGAGGGCAAGGTCACGATTACGATCCGATTACAGTTGATTGGAACTTGCCCAGAGGCCATACGGAGCCATCAGCGATCGTGATTGCATTTTTCTTAGTGTAGTGCTGATGTGCTGCTGAGCAATTCAGTTTAGATTTATTTGATTCTATTTTAATTTATGCCTTTACTTCTTAAAAACTGACCTTTGTAAGTTGAACTGAAGCGTTACGAAATTGTGCACAAGTGTCGTTCACAACAGCCGCACAAGTGTGGCAGTGGCTACATTTTTCTTGGTGTAGTGCAGTGGATTCGGTGGCGTGGCTAAAGCGCTTTCGTCACTGATTTTCTTACGTCGCAATTGCAAAACATCGGTTCAACGTTTTTTTAAGTTTCAAGTACTCTGTGAAGGGTAAGTCTTGCATGGTCAGATGAAGAAAACCGGAAGAAAATCGGTTTCGGGAAAAAAATATTTGAGGTGGCCCACTCAAACGACCATCCCTCATTGACTTACCATAGTGGTCCACTCAAACGACCATACGGGTAGTAGTCTGCATGCGCTTCCGCCGGACCACCAGCCATGAACTGAATATGGTTCATTTAATTCCTCAAAGGAAACGCATTCAGCAAATATCATTTACTGCAATTTTACTTTGATATTTTTTCACAGCAGCTTTATTTTGCTAGACATATGTTAGTTTTTAGACATATATGTATTATGTTCACGAACAAAACTCAAAAGTATTACCCATTCGAGAACCTTTATACAGTTTTTGCAACAATATAATTTTTCGACAGTAATTTCCAAGACCAACTGATTGGTTAAGTTAGGACTACACGATCAGATTTTGTCCAGGATAGATCACATCAGGATTTTCAATATTATTGTCGACGACGAGCTGCTGCCAGTTTTTCCCCATCTTTTCGGCAATTTTGGCTATGGTGTCCCCATTTTGTACAATGTACCTGCGAACTAAATCAAAACTCAAACTCGAACTTTCAGTACGAAAGCGATTGCGTTCGTACCTACGTTCGGGAAAGAACCGAAACGAATGCACCGCAATTTCCACATCCTCCATATCGCCCGCTTCGTTACTGTATCTTTATGAACGCATAAGCTCATCGTTACAGGAAGTGCTTTCTGTGGAATACTCTGCGAATTGCCGGTATAACTCCATATCTTAAACAACAAATCCCGGTTGCTACTCTGATGACCGTGTTGGGAAGAAAACGTCACGTTTCCCGGCTTCCAGTCGTAAGTATGCGTTGTATACGTCCCAGCAAGGGAAAACGAGAAAGCGTACGTGCTGCTTATCCGCACCGCTTGTAAAGGGCGCAGGCAGGCGCCGACTGGTGACCCCGTAACTAGCGATCGGAGCATCGGCGTTACCCCACCGCGAAAACTGAATACCAATACGTGGATGAGGATCCATTTGACTGTAGAGGGCGAAGACGACGTGAGGATGTAGTTGATCAAGACGGCTTTCAATGTGAAACTGATGACGCCCGAAACCGAACGTATCGACCGAGCGGACGCCGGCGCAGTGAAAGAAATTGTTGCGTTTCGTCAGACGGAGATGCAGATGGTCGTTGATGACTTGGATGTTGTTCACACCCGGGTCGGACATTTCCATTACCGTCCACATCAGGTCTGAGAAACGTATCGTGGCAGGACTTTTCTCCGATGCTGCAGCGGTTGCCGCCGTAGTTGTCGAAACAGTATTTGCGCTATCCATACCAATTGTAGTCTGATAACCTGGTTTTCCACTGGTGCTGCTCACGTCGCAGTGCAATTGCGGCATGCTCTCCACTCGTTCAAAGTTGTCGTCGATACACCCGTAAGCCTTCTGCAGTTTCGTGACGTCCAGCGCGCTCAGCCATTTGCGCTGACCCATTCTCCCGGGCGAACGAATCTTGGGAATGATGGCCGGTTTGTCGCGGCTCTTAGCGAAATCCCACGCTGCATAGTGCAGAATGGATTCGTAGTCGTACTGGAGACCGTGGGTGGGCATATGTGGCAAAATACCGTAGTTCAATTCGTACATGTTGGGCTGGATGTTTTCGCTAAAGACTTGGACGAACTCATCACGGTCGGGTCGGTTCTGTTCGTGGTAGAAGCCGAGCGCATGGTGGAGTTCGTGCAGAATTATTCCGTCTTTCAAACAGCTACTTCCCAGTCGAATTTCCGTAGTTCGTCCGGGTACCAGCCCGACGTGGGACATGCACCTACAAGTTACAAGCAAGTAGAAGTACAATAGATGACTGATTATACATATTTCTATTTTTTGCACGACTGTAAAAGAATACGAATTTCTGTAAACACTGCTGACGCAATCTATAATTTTCAACCGGCTGCAATAAAGAGTCGCCGTAACTTTAGCTACTGACCCTCACCCAACGGGAACGATGGATATGTATTCGGCTTCCTCCGTTTGGATCTTGAAAGACAAGCAGTAATCTGTGCGTCGTTCGATGGTGTTCATGGCGTTACGAATACGATGCTTGGCTTCTTCGTCTGTAAATATTTACCTAATGGGACTACATAATTCCCGAAACAACTACTAATAATTCCACTAGATTAATAATTCCATGATTTATTATAAGCGAAAAGTACGAAATAAGAATGTATTATGAACGAAATTATTACCGTACTACCGATTCATATTATTTTTGTACAACGTACGTTCAACCCACTGCATTTATACTGCTGTAAATTAATATTAAACACTGGTATGCTGCTAGCCTGCTGCATTATGTAAATACTGGTTAAAACGGTTACTGTACCGAATGCCGGGTGTAGCCGATATGGAATGCACTGTCCGCTGTTAGGCCAGTAATTGCTACCCAATACATTGTGACTGCTTCCCGGTTCCTCTGCAGCCAGCATCGGGTATCCCGGTATGGCTCCATCTTCCCAGATAATATCGGCTCTGGTCAGTGCTTCTTCCGATTCGCTGACGGATGGGGGAATTCGATGCCGCCATTCTGCGCCGAGAACATGTCATATTCGAAATTGTTGGGTAATGCCGTTCAAAGAGTGCTGCCCACCTGATGGTAATTCTGCGCAATCAATCTGTTTCAAGTGTAATAGGCAATGCGCAATAAGCAGAGCACTGAACATCAGTCGTAGAATTTTCGTGCTGAACATTGCGGTGGTCGCAGTTTTACTCGCAACAAAAATGGATTATATTTCCAGTTGCCCAAATTGCTAAAGTTGTAAAAATGTATGGCGGACTGTTTGGCTGCAAACTCCATGCTTACTCTTCTGGTAGGTGAAACGGCGCATCAGACCACATTAACATTACCTAAAACGCAAACTCTGTGTGTTTCGCATGAAGGAATCACAGGAACTGCCATGTGATACACTATAGTTACTACTGGATTTAAAAATCACGTACCGCGTCGACCGCTCTAGTACTTAATATGAATAATTTAAGCTTTACATTATTAAGTAAAATTTCATGCTGTTTTATTAATAGTAACAACACGCGATAACTCTATTGCAGCCATGGTAGCAGGCTTCTGAATGACCACTGGACTTCACAAATTTGGGTTGTATAAGCCAAAAGGTTACCAGTTAGAAATTACCCGCAGTACTGGAAGAAATCTGCCGCAACTCAAAAATTAAAACTTGATCGGTACAAGTTGAAATAATAGGAAAATGAGAGGAGAAACCAAAAACCTGCATGAGATGTCTAGCAATTTTCGTATTGCAGGATTGCTGTTCCTTTGCTGCATAAATCCTGTTTATCAAACGTTATTTTTTGTTGAAATGAATAGTGAACGAGAGTGGTTGTGCTGGAGTTTATGCAGTGCGACCATTTAATTTCAGTTATTTATCGCCAGCACTAGTTTAAAAATGGACGTAAGTAGACAATGGTACGTAGACAACATAAACATACTTGCGGAAAAGGAACGATTATTACTACAGGAAATACGAAAAACGGTTTTTCTTATACAGCACATATTAACATTACTTAACGCTTGATTTGGGTACATTTCAGATAAAGCTTGCGGACATTAATTCTTTTTTAAAAAGATTGCCACCACACCTTCGCTATGGGAAGTTTTTGGTCTGACTCCTATTTGTTATGTGCAGGAGCCGGGCACCGTTATATATCTCGGGCCCGGCGTCCTTCATTCCGTAATTAATATCGGTGGAAATGTGAGCCAAGCACGAAATTTTATTGACGAACGTTGGATTCCAGTCATTGACACCGTTGTACTATTTCGTCAAAAAGTTAGTCTATAGCAATTTACCTTGAGTGCCTCCGATTTACTATGTCTTTAATTAATCACAGTGTATCAAGTTGCGCAACAACTCTAATTTGGAAATACTGCATAAGTGGACGCTGCTGCTTAGAGAACGGTTACTCGCCCGCACTGCAGCTGCTGTACAGGCAGTCAATCGACGCCGTTTTCCTGTGCGATATAAAAAGAAATATGGAAAATTTTTGGGAGCGACTAATTCATTTTCAAAAAATTTCCCAAATGCTCTGGGTGAAATTGACGTTTTGGACATCAGCTGTCTGCCACCTTCTGTATTCCCGGCAAATTTAATCTTTGATGATGATGCCAACTGCTTCCTTGCCCCACCGACAACTAGCATATCGTTAAATGCGCCGTTGGTAAACGGTCAATTTCGCGCAGAACGGGCATTACTGAATTCCGGAAAAGCTTTTGTGTGCCAGTATGCGAAGTGTACAAGATCTTACAACAGTGCTACTGCACTCAATCTCCACATCCGCGGAAAACATAAAAAGAAATATGTGTGCGATTTATGCAAAGCTGCATACTGCTCTCCACATTGGCTCAAGTTTCACCAATCTACCCACCATGGTAACAACAAATAAAATTGAACAATAAACTTAAACAATATTCGGTTTCTTAAGTAAATAGTTCTGTTACGTATATTAAAATTTCGAAAACCTGCTGTCATTCAGAATATACATATTAAATCTATTTGATCTGAAAGCTTCCGCTTGCAGTCCGAAAAATAATATTGGAATTATTTAGGTAATCAAGATGAATCTTCGCGCAAGAAGTCCAAGTGCGGTCGGCGACCAATGAGTATCACTCCTGATGTTTTCTAGATTTGTGTTCCGTTATTTTAAACTACGCATTAGTAACTTGCAGAGGTTAACATTAAATTTACGTTGGTTGATGTTGGTTCCACTTTGTTGGACATAAACTCATCGGTGTTTTACACAGGTTAACAGCGAATTTACGTTGGTTTACGTTGATTGCACTTGCACTTTGCCAAACATAAGCTTAACGGTGACTTACGCAAGTTAACAGCAAATTTACACTGACTTACGTTACTTTACGTTGGTTTCACTTTGCCGACACGGACGTAACGTGGGTTTACATGGCACGAAAATCTTACGTAGCATTTACGTTGATTTACGTATGTTTACTGTAACGAAAACACATGCCCGTTTTTTTCTTTAAAATAAATCGCGCACTATCTGGTAGGTCTAGATCACTGCAAATTCCGTAGAGTTTCATTAGGTTCCGTGAGGTTCCGTACGGTTCCGTAGAGTTCCATTAGGTTCCGTCGGGTTCCATTAGGTTACGTAGAGTTCCATTAGGTTCCATTAGGTTCCGTCAAGTTCCGTAGAGTTCCATTAGGTTCCATTAGGTTCCGTTAGGTTCCATTAGGTTACGTCAGGTTCCGTCAAGTTCCGTAGAGTTCCATTAGGTTCCGTCAAGTTTCGTAGAGTTCCATTAGGTTCCGTCAAGTTTCGTAGAGTTCCATTAGGTTCCATTAGGTTCCATTAGGTTACATAGAGTTCCATTAGGTTCCATTAGGTTCCGTCAAGTTCCGTCAAGTTCCGTAGAGTTCCATTAGGTTCCGTACAGTTCCGTTAGGTACGTGCTCAGATTAACGTTGCCGTTTTTCCGCCTAAACAATCTGTGCCATATATGGAGATGACTGCATGAAAGAAGGCATTATAATGCACGAACTTTTGCATGCTCTAGGCTTCTACCACGAGCAAAACCGGCCAGATCGCGATGAGTTTGTGCAACTGTTCCCTGAGAACATACAACCGGAAATATACGACACAAACTATCGCATCTTGCGTAGTATGCCCACACATGGCATTCCGTACGACTACGAATCCATCCTGCATTAAGGAGCCTGGGACTTCGCCATCAAACGCGATAAGCCAGCTATAATTCCCAAGATCCGCACCTGTGTGAGAATGGGTCAGCGCAAATGGATGAGTCCACTGGATGTCGTGAGACTACAAAAAGCCTATGGATGTCTCGATGATAATTTTGAAAAAATTACGCCAAGTATTGCAGTTGCGTCCACAGCTGAGACAACAGCTCCACCCGCTCTAAATGCGAGCCTATCGAGCCAGAACCTTGCTGCGTTTTTTGCTGAACAGAGAACATGTAGGTTAAGAGAGAATAATTTTTAAATGATATTATGAGCCACAAGTTTCACAATCTTGATTTCTTTACATAAGTCACAGAAAACGGTGAATTTTGCTGATATTTCTGTTAGAACCCACATGGCGTGTTCGGACCATTTAAAATGCGGCTGTTTCCTTGGCTGGTGCTGGGCGTACGCTTACTGGGAACTGATGAAAATCGGCGATCCGTGGTGTTGGACGCAGCCGGTGGGTGTTCCAGGCGGGCAAAATCCTTTGCATCGTGCGCCGCTGATAACGATTGCAACATCACGATGACATGTGGCGACAACATCACATATGCCGGCAGCGGTCCACCAGAAGTGCGTCCAGCCTTCGCAGACGTCACAGCTGGGCCAATGTCGCAATGCAAAACAAATCTCCAATACTGCGGGCAGCTTTTATGTTTTTTAGGTAGAAATCCTTAGATATACCGTATACGTGCGTGCAGCGTTACTAGTTGATCTGCACTGACATAAACGTTTCCGCGCATATTGTTAACTTAAAGCGTGCATAAAGTTTCACCGTTTCACCACTTTATCAATGCTTTGCAGGCTATAGTGTCGGAGAGGGTGAATATTTGTCAAATATGCTGTTTAAGTGCAAAGATGGCCGTAATGTGGAGCCGATTTCAAGCTGCAAACAATGCCGTGACGGAGGTGCGGATAAGAACGACCACTGCGAGCCCTGAGATAATGCAAGTAAATCATCGTTTGCACTTTTTGGATAAGTGTTCAGCGTTAAATCTTTGTTATCTCTCTATGTTCGCTGCTGCGTTCGTTTCAGTGGAGCCAAAATCCACGCATTCAGTCTCAAAGCCAAATGTTTGGGCCGCAACTAGGCTTTCGAAGGTTGTGGGCCCGATTTTTTTTAGTGGGACGATGTCGAAGATTTTCTTGTATTGCTGAACGCCGCATGGTGACCCGTGGCACAAAGCGTTTAGCGTGCGCTACATAAATATTATTGGTTTCATTATGGGCTTTTGCGTTTAAATATGCCTTTTATCATCTACCCTGCGTTTGTTATGTTGATTATCAAGGTAAAGATCTATATTACAACGGAAAACCCCGTACGATCTGGTCAGAACAAACCAAAAAATTAATTGAAAAACTGCTAACGCCGTTCGATTCAGCATGTCTGGAAACTGTTTCACATGCATTTTGTTTTGGTAATCATCCGCTCCGGCTCCGGTGCACAGACCCCGGTGCCGGTAGAGCTGAAAGCTCAAGGTGACCTTGAAAACAATTTCAGAGTCCGGTTGCGTGGAGCAAACAATCGGTACCAAAAATTTAAATCAAAATTTAAACCAAATAAAAACTTAAACTGGTATCTTTTTAGATCAGCAAATTAATAAGGTTTAAACTTTTACTCCTACAAAACTAGAAAAGCCAGTTAGCAGTAACCCAAACGATGCTGCTTAAAGTGGACGGCTTCGTTTCAAAAAATCGTTATCAATTTAAAGCGCTCAAAAAAGAAACTGACCATAGTAATCGTTCAAACAGGCTGACCCTTCGTTGCAGTCCGAGCAAAGTAAGGACAGTAATTAATTAATCAGCACATACGGTCCGTAAATTATTCCGTATAACACGGAATAATAATATGGTATCTACATTCTAGATCTTTATTACCACAAAAAATAAAACGGTACACATGAACGCAGCTTTCCCGTACAACATCAGCAAAAACCATTTCTATAATCTTAATGCCCCGATTCCAAAACCCGGCCAGACGGTCACTCATTGACGTAGCGGGCCGCTACGTCAATGAGTGACCGAAGTATCGTTACTGTCCAGAGCACACAGCCCGTTAGGTAAACGAATGACCGAAGCACCGCTACTGTCCAGAGCACACAGCCCGCAAGGTGAGCAGTTAACCAAAGTTCCATTACTGTCCAGCACACGAAGCCCGCTAGGTGGTTGAGTGACCCCTACCACCAGCATCCATTGCAGGCATTCCTTAGGTTGAAATTAGGTACCTGGTACTTGGTAGACTCAGAGTCGGGATGGAAAAGTTAACAAAAATTCCCCTCTCAGTCAACGTGAATGCGTCTGAGTGCAGAAAAGCCATAAATTCACTTCTTATCCTATCTGCGTTTTAGCGCTGTTTTCAGACCATTTTGTTTTGCTGAAGGAATAGGCTGTTAACTAAATAACTGATCGAAATCATTTGAATAAACCGGCCGTAGACTGGAGACCACAAGAAACGCGGAAGCGAAGCCGAGGCTGTTTCTTGTATATAATATTGCGTTGAAATACGTTCAATAAACCATGGTGTCACAGAGTTTTTTGTCAAAACGCTGCAGATTAGAATTCAGTAGATCGAAGAATTCGACCTCAAAACACGGTACTTATTTTGATGTTTGCATAGGAGATTTTTCGGAAAATTCTAAAACAATGGCCTGAAGTTTTTCTTGCAGCAGTAACCACGATGCAATCCTCCCCGTCACAACACTCTTCTTGCATAATGTTAGTACAAATTTTTGTTTTTTAAATGTTTTTAAATGTTTTTTTTTACAAGTGTTTTTAAATATGTATATTCCTACGTAGTACAAATTTGTTGACTATAAAGGGTTTTTAGATATGTATAATCCTACTAAGTTCTTAGTACTTACTGCATGAAGCCATGAACAGTATGATAGAGACTGCCAATCTCCACTTCTTAAAGGGATGAGGGTCAGATCCCATTTCCCATTTGAATTTCCCATATTAAAATTATACGGGTGCAAAAACGCAGTGTAACAACTTAACATGGTAATATGGAAACGGAAAAGGTCGAGAAATGTGGCCAGATAAATTGCTTAACAAGAAGTAGAGGGTATACGGAGTAAGCGGAAATTGGCACTATCTGTACCCTGCAGTGCATCGCAATCAGAATCAATAGGCGACATTAGAATTAAATATGCTCTACAGCAGGTTGTGCTTAAAATCTTGATAGTCGTTGAATTATGTAATTGTTGTAGCCCTGTAAGTCCGCATGCAATTTATCACGGACTTTTCCGCGCAATTTGAGCGGGGCCTACTAGTAATTCTATATTCGAGGTGGCACTTGACTGGCGTTCAGTTGCTCCCCAGTTTTCTTCTCCGTTTCGGACAGCCGTCTACTTTCTGGGAAATGCTGGGCGATTGTTTCCTTGACCGGCTATGATCTGCCGGCAGGTAGCCGACAGTAAGCCGGCAGGTGAACATGGCGCAACATGCCGTCCACCAGCATTGGGCGGATGACCGCCTGACGTTGGCTTTCTAGAGTTCTCGTAATGCTTTTTTTGTAGAAACTGAATTCCATGGGCATAATGTCTCCGCGTGCGACTCGTACCTATTTCCGACTCTTAAATCCTACGCCTTAACGACTGAGAGCTGAAAATTCGAATTATCTGAAAAAGTCTGATCTATTCCAGACGGTGTATAAACGATCTATGGTTTAATGCCAGTATAGTCAGAATTCGCATTCATTTTACTAAAAGGTGAACTTCCCGTGTTTATCAGTCGTCATGACGTGATAAACACACAAACTCAAACTTTTGCTAGTAGTTTTATTGTGCTGCTAAAAATTCTTGCGCGTAGCCAAAAATCATAGCGCGGGAGACTTTCGCGCGTGGCTATTTCATAGAATAATACAAATGCATTACGAATGTATCAATCATCATAAAAAGTGTTTTTGAAACGGAAGAGTGGCAGCGATAATTCAGTCTATTATAGGGTAATTAACGCGATAGACGTTTGAAAAAGCGTTTTTTAAAAGTAAGTTTTGGACAGTGAAGGTAGTCACTGCGGCCAAGGTAAAGGCAAACTGGAAGATGGCAAACTGAAAATACAAAGGTAAATGGCGGGCAAAGGCAAAGTGCTTGCATAGGTATAGAAGGACGACCCGACATATTGCAGCATTATTAATTATTACAGTGCTTGTTCGCTTCATCGTCGGTTTAGTATTGTTTGGGTAATGTTCTGGAACGCCGCACTGACATCATAATTTACTTTGTAGTCGTACAGACATCATAATTTTACAGTACAAGAAGCAGCATGGGATTCGCCGCCGTGTTTTATAGGAGCACACTTTTCTTCAAATTGTTGTGAACTTGTGATCCTTCGCGTCGAAGGTATAATCGGCGGACTGTTTACAGCGTTATAGCTTTACGGACTTGTTTTATACAGATACGTCTGGATGCTCTAATATTTATATATGCTCATTCGCCCTGGATTAGCTGTGCTGATTTGAATAAAATAGATTCTCTTGATAATCATTGTGAATGAGAGTTTCATGTGCACATTTCACCCGGCTGACGACATTTTAAGGATTGCAGTTTAAGGTCAGTCGTTTATACGATGATCATTCATTTTATAATTGGATTAGATTTCAGCTGTGTGATCCAGCGAATAGTTATGAGTTAGTACGTATGTTATACATATCAGCTAAAACTGATTATTTTAATTATTAATTTTTGCCCAACGCAACCACACTTCTAAATCGTTTTCACTTTAAGGGACAATCTTATGTTAGCACCGTTAATTAGCCGCATCTGTGAGTGGGCAGGATATGAACGTTTTGAAGCAAAGTACCTGTGACACGGTTCTTAAACCTGATAAATTAATAGGGATGGTTTTTACCTTTTGTTGTAGTTTTTCTGATGCAAAAGTTACGGGATTGTTGCAACACAAATCCTATTTCTTTAATGGTAAGGAAACTGACGTCAATCGAAAGAACAAAATATTTAGCATAACTCAATCAAAGTGAAATATCCTTAATCGTTGTCAGTGTGGCACTGCAGACACGGGGTCGGGCTTGGAGAAAACTAACTGCATGGGACAAACACTGTATATAGAGATGTGCGGTACATGAAATGTGTTGGTTCACCGGTGGTTCACTGGTGGTTCAATGGAGGTTTACCGTGGTTCACTTGGTTCACTGGGTTCAAGCAAAGTGGGGTGAGCGCAGGGAGAGATGTGCGTTACATGAAATGTGTTGGTTCACCGGTGGTTCACTGGTGGTTCAATGGTGGTTCACCGTGGTTCAGTTGGTTTACTGGGTTCAAGCAAAGTGGGGTGAGCGCAGGGAGAGATGTGCGGTACATGAAATGTTTTGGTTCACCGGTGGTTCACTGGTGGTTCCGTTGATTTTTTACTTGGTTTATGCAAAGACGATTTAGACAACGGAGAAGCGTGCGGTGCTTGAGCCTGATAGTCCATTGGTTTAGTTTACTTGGTTTAAACCAAGTAAACCAGTCATGGCCTAAGTACTGGTTTAAACCCATTGAACCCTTAATGTCCTAACTCAGACATTCTATAGAGAGCCAGCCACGGATGACGAAGCGTTCCAACTTTTGAAGCCCAGGGCTTATAATTCGATTTTTACGGTATTTGTGCTTGAGCTTGAGCCAACCAGGTAGGCGGCGGATGGGCGGCTGCTGTGTGTACAGAGGATTCTGCTCTTACAACATCCGACGAAATTATATCCCTGCCGGAAAAAAAATCTTCCGCTAAAACGAAGAAGTTCTGCGAGAGAACTCCGTGAACATCTTTCTACATAGGTGATTAGAGACGCACTAGGGGAATATTGCGTACAGCGCCTGCTTGTACAAGCTCGAGCTATTGCACTCACATACAACGGCCATGCAGTGCAGCACACTCACACATTGAGCGTTGAGCACACAGCCACACACTCATTCTAACAAACGTGGAAGTTCCAACGTCTGCACAAGTGATGTTTCTGAGTTGGAATGCACTGCATAAGGCACAAGATCATCCCCAATTTCGACGGAGGACCTCCTTTTACGGACATTATTGGATTTTATAATTGTGCAAGGTGAGTCTCAAGTTTTGTGATCGTAGGTACTATACAAAAGTGTAGTCTTGTTTGAATGGGAAGATTACTGGAACCATAACGCATATTGCTGAGTCGAGTCTCGTTTTTAGGTGCTATTCCGTCTGCGGAGCTCCGCACAGCCTTCCTCTATTTCCAGTGTGGCGCCCTCCGGATCCGAGAATAAAAAAATCAGAAACGAAATGAAAAAGCAGCGCTAATCTAAACTGCCATTAAAATCAAACAAATTTTTGATTGCATATTAGCGGGGCATTTCGCAGGGAATGTTCGGCTTTTACGGCTTTTCGAATGCTATGCTATTTGACTATCAATTCCACGATTGGGCCGCCTTGCACCAATCGGCGCGTTTGTTACAGTATCGTTACGCCTAGTGGTTTAGCACAAATGTGGTTGGGTGAAACCGGCCACTCACAGAACGGATAGAGGCTCGACGGGCCAATGCGAGAGCGGACATACTAACGTGCTCCGGTGATATGTGGAGTCATATCAACGCAACACGCTACGATCTCACTTTTTCCGGGAGGGTATGCGCGAGGAAATGTCACGAAGTGTTTTTTTTGTATTCAGCAACGCAAATCTGAAGGTTTAAAAATAATTGTAGTCCAGATTCTAGATGCTTTGGTCTCTACTCCACCAAAATTGTTTTCTTCGATCTAAATTGCAAAAGGGTGTCACAAGTTCACAACACTGTCGATGATTTCCATTGCTGTTAAATGTTAATACGAAAGATCCAGCTGGTTACATGACATTGCCACTTCAAATAATTTTTTCCTCAGACTTCAAGATTTGGATTAAAATATGGCAGGCTTGCTACCGGAACTCCTGATTCAGATATTTGCTCACTTGGATATTCATTGTTTAGCTCGTGCTCAAAGGTGAGCGGAATTTTTTTTTTGAGCTTTTATCTTGATTAAAACTTATGCTGAATTAGTTTTATATAATACATAGAAACTGAGAGCGTGGGCCGGGGCCCCCTACCTCACATTTAAAATTTGAAAATTTAAAAATACTGCGAATTTAAAAATACATGGTTTTTCCCATAGACTTCGTATGTTAAGCTTTTTTAAATTTTCCTCCAAGTTTTCACTAACCCGTTTCTGCAAATTTATGATCTAAGCGCCAGTGGCGAATTTAAAAAGGGGTAGGGACACGGGGCACGCGCTCCCTCCGAAATTTTTCCGAAGTGGGTACTTCAAAAAAAGAAAGGCAGGAGTACGTATTGTTTAAAAATTGTGACCAATTTTGCATAAAACCGTATCAACTACTATTTTTCGTTGAATTTTTAACGATTTATGCCGTAAAACCGAGTGTTAGCTTCGGGCGAAAGCAGCTTTTTACTGCACTTTCAAACATGCGTTTTAAATTACCGCACGAAATAGGCTTACAGAAATCTTCTGTAAAACACTGTTCCTTAAAACACAATTGTGTTACTAGGTACATCTACTCGTTTAACAACAAACCAGCTTTACAAGAAATTCGTAATATTTTACTATTTTTTATGGAATTTGTAGTAATTCCTTGAATAAAAATGTGCGTCAGCTTCGCGCGAAAGTTTGGTTTTCCGGGTATTAACGCAGTTTAATACAAAGCAAATTTTAATCTACGAATATTGTAAAACACTAACCTGGAGATCAGCTGCACAGCCTCCACCTAATTTATTAAAAAATTACCTAGGTGCAGGATTTGCATAGGCATCCTAAGTTATTCTTAATAGCTTGTACAAGCAGGTTATAAATTTGCAGGTTTAAAAATGAATTCATAGTTTTTCAGGTGTTTTGTTAGTCTCAGTTACTCGATCGAGCTCGACAGCGGAGAAGGTGCGCGGCACGTGCAGCCAAACATATGTTATGGCATAAAATGCAATAATAACAGCATCGTAGTAATAAGTGCTATGTACATTGTACTTGTTGGCTGAACAGCCTGAACATAATGGCTCATTATGGCTGTCTGCTTTATTAAGCTACGTTGGGATCGTCCAATATGCCTGGTTGACATCGCGCTAGTCCAGTTCGACGGAACAATTTTTACAAACTATAGCACACCAAACTTAATTAAAATCGATCTTAGAAGAAGGGTTGTTTGTTTTATGCAAATTGTTTTGACAAAAAATGGTAGAATTTGAGAATTCCCCAGACACCAAAATTTGAATTTTCCTGTATTTTATAAACTGAAAATTGTTGTTCAGTTAATTTTTGCATAATTTCATTTGACACCATAGTTAACGAGCACTGCCCATATTTTAGTACATAGTCAGAAAATTGTCTAGCGAAGGCTAAATCGTTTGCGGTACGATAAGTGGTACGTGCACGAGAAACAAACCATAAAGCGGCGACAGTGCAGCCACATGCGTTAACATTGTGACAGGCAAGCACAGAGAGCTCACAGATACCTTTATTGTACAAATAAAGTGGAGCAAATACCGCGTGAATGCGGGAGAAAAAGACAACAAAGCCAATGTCTGGCAGAAATCAGCAAGTCAAGTTGCTGCGAGCGAGTTCTAGCGCGTAATGAAATGTAGAGAATAGAATGTGCTGGCGGCAACGGCGTCACGCTGTCCAGACACACGGAATGTGAGTGCGCAGACTGGACTCGTATCCAACGCGAGCGTATATGCGCTGAGTCATACAGCGAGAGAGAGGAACGAGAGAGCAAGTATGCTCAGTGAGTGCGCCCGCGGTGTATCCGCTAGGCGGAGAGTGCAGTGCAGCCACTCACGTACGTACAAGAGAGGGCGAATCAGCATGTGTGCAGTGATACGCATACGCAAAGTGGCGTATCTATCACGCAGGCTGTCGTGCCTCTAACAACATTACTTTTTAAATATTATTTTGAATATTAATTTATTTGTTCGTTTATTAATTTGTTTTTGATTTATTTTTCTTTCCTGGTCGAATTTCGGTGACAGTGTGACAGCCCCGCCTAAAGCCCCGGACTGCTAAATAGTAAACAGCAAGTTACTTACAAATATTGTAATACTGGATGTACAAAGGACATACTTACCAAAAGTAAGTTTCGCTATTTTGCCTCTCCCAGCGCAAATGCCTTTAGCTCTTATTATCCATACAGATACAAATGCCCTTCAGTAGTCCTTCACTAACGAAAAGAAGTAAAATATAACTTTGTCTAAGAACAATCAAATGGAGAAGAACTGCCAAAATGTTTATCGACCAGCATCTAAGATACCAATGGACTCTAAGTTACTGCTAGGACAAATTTTTTTCATGAGATTTTGATTTTTTATCGTCCGGAAGTAAGGCAGCTCTTTGGTTTTTGCACCTAGTCATCGATAGTTTCTATTTTCCCAGAAAACAGTATGTGTAAGTTATTCTGTTTGTTAATTGAGATTAGAAGAGAGAAGAATACTTAACTTGTACTTGTAGACGCTTTGATTGTTACAAAAAGTTAAGAGGATGATTGAGAAAAATCGCAAAAACTGTCCTGGTAAAATTCATGGCAAAGTGCGAAAAAGTGGTCGAGCATAACCGCGCATAAAATGTTCTTTTCCTTGATGCAAAGAACCTTGAATTCATACAAACGAGAAGGCTGAATAAGACAAAATTTCAAATTTGGTGTCGTGAGGAAGGAAATTTTTACTTAAACCCCTGGACGTCCCACGAAAATCAGATACCAGAGAAATATTAAGCACACGTTATTTGCAATTAATACTTTTATTTTACTTTCAAAAACTGGAAGGGGGCGGAAGGGATACAAGAATGGAAGTCCGTGGAAAAGGTGAAAAAGTGTTACAAAGCCATTCTGTTTCTCCTTTCTTTCGTTTCTCATCAAACCATTTGGTTCTAATTTTCCTAGGTAGTTTACATATTTGCTTACGTAACAAAAAATATATCAGTTGTGTATTGCTTCAGATGGTAGGGAGGTAAAATAGGGACACTTACTTTTGGTACGTCCTTTGTAGTAAGCACTACACAGATAACTGCAATAAGTACTAACAATCACTAATTTTATTAATAGGTCGTCTTTGCAGTTTACAACATGAATTATAATTTGTGCAAAATTTTTCATGACTTCAACCAGTAATCAGCATTTTTCCTTCTTCGCAGACTAAAAAGCCACAAATCTTTGTTTCGCAACGTGTGTTTACAGTGTATTATGCGATTTTTGCTTGACTGTGGTGTGTGTACTGTGTATACAATCGATGATCTTTGCCGCAGGCCCGTAGGATAACTCTTGTGCCTCATGTGCGTGTGGGAAGACTTTTGCTCTAGAAACTTTTGCAACAGACGTACATACATTAAGACAAAAATTTAATGATCATTTAGTGGCATTAAATTATTTAGAATTTTGGTACATTGTTTTGCGGGCAAAGTTACATATCTCGTGTGTGAGGTGAGAAAATAGCTATCTGCAGCTACTTTCAGCAGTAGCGAAGCGGCTATACCAGCGCTACCAATCCAAAAGTGACACGGGTGCAACCAGTCCTTTATTACACAAAAATTATTAGAAACTGTTGGTATTAGAAAACTGATTATACCGTTGGTATTAGAAAGTATTTATGGTACTAGTATAGGTCTTAGCAGCCCTAATGCAAGCAAGCGAGCGACATTTAGACATTTTCGAAATTAATACACATACAGCATCAAGGATGGCCCCCATATTGCAGCTGTACGTGTACTGTGTTTGAGGTCAGATACAGTATTTGTTTTTTTGGTAGGCATACAGGAAACTGAAAGATAGCAAGCGAACATACAAGTACGCTTGAGTATCTTATATCGGCAACGTAAAAAAAAGCAGAATGGTAATATTCATGGTGCACCGTTTTGTGTCTCTTATGCATGGGATTTGGCCCGGTGTACATAGCACCAAATTCGTGAACATCCACGGGAGCTTTCGCAGCCACGCACTCCCAAACACTTTTTGCATTGCTTTATGGCATTTTGCAGCCAAAAGAATTGTATACGTAGGCGTGAAATCCGTTTGCGCGCGCATCATCCGGTTGGGGAATTATAAGTATAAAAAATTCCAGAAAGCTCAAATGCATTCACGTGTGTCAAAAGTCTCATTATGGACAAATGTCCTTCAAATTTTGCAGGTAAATGGACATAACCATAAAGTTCGTTCTTACATGGATCTAGACTTGCACGATTTTTATTCGAATTTTAAAATGAATTTTAAAATTTTTGAAATTCATTTTAAAATTTGAAAAACATGCTAGAACAGTGGATCGGTGTAAGAACAATCTTCACGGTTATGCACATTTACGTGCAAAATTTGAAGGACATCGGTCCATAATGAGACTTTGGGTACGCATGAATGCATCTAAACTTTCTGGAATTTTGTTATCCTCATAACTCCGCAGCCGGATGTTGTGCGCGCAAACGGATTTCACACCTACGTATACACTATACAATTATTCTGGCTACGAAATACCATTAAGCAATGCAAAAGTGTTTGGGAGTACGCGACAGCGAAAGTTCCCGTGGATATGCACGACCTTAGTGCCATGCACCGGGCCAAATCCCTTGTGTCATTTGCATAACCATTATTAATTTTCAAGCCACTTTGCACGATGCATTGGAATTAAGTTTAGCCACGCCCACTTCAACATGGCCGAGGAAGACATTTTTTTAAGTACACCCAAGGATACTCTGTTTTCCTGCAAAAAACAAATTTTTTTGGAGCCGGGAGCCGGTGACCGGGCCTGGTTAGTACGACTGAAAGCTTGATATTTTGTGGGAAAATCTCAGTATTAAAGCACATTTTATTGCCGGTATGTTTAGTACTCGGTACGAGTACATACGAGTAGTACGAGTTCATTACCCTTTCCTAGCTTTATTCGAAATCAGTGTCTAACAGGGCTACCGATCACTTCGGCCGTTTTCATTTCGGCCGCGTTCATTTCGGCCAAAGTTTTTCGGCCGCCATTCACTTCGGCCGTCATTCACTTCGGCCGTCATTCACTTCGGCCGTCATTCAGTTCGGCCGCTGGTCAGTTCGGTCACAGTACATTTCGCCCGACGCTCATTATATTTTGACTTACAAGAGCACGTTACTTTCGCATAAATTTATCGGTAACTTTAAACCGTTGAACCAAAAAACGATAGCAAATGGCCGCGTTCAAAACATTTTGCACGCACAATTTGTTTGAGCAGTTCTTGAAGTGTGTCTGTTACCTTCATGTCTAACTTTCGATGACCCGAAACCTACCGAGAAAGTACCGAATCCCTAACCACAAGACACATAGAAAAACATAAAAAATGAAAAGAAATCTTCACATCAAATCACCTAAGGATAACCTAAGATACCTATGAAAACAGAAGAAAATCAAAGAAAACCTAAGAAGACCTAACAAACCATAGCCAGATCTAAGAAAACCTAAGAAAGCCTAAGAAACTTAAGAAACCTAAGAAGCCTAAGAAACCTTAAAAACCTAAGAAACCTAAGAAACTAGGAAACCATAATAAACCTAAAATTCTAAAAAACTTAGAAAACGTTGGAAACCCAACAAATCTATGATGGCCGAAATGTCCAGTTGCCAAAATGAGCGTTGGCCGAATTGAGTGTTGGCCGAAGTGAGACACGGCCGAAATGAACGTTGGCCGAAGTGAATCTGTGCGGCCGAAATGTAACGCGGCCGAAGTGATCGGACGCGGTCTAACAGTGGTATACTTCGTTTGGTTGTATTCAGCTTTTTGTAGGCACTCATGATTGAGCCATGAACTGTACACAGAAACACAGAAATTACTTACGACGACAGGGTCCAGGGAAAGTCAACCGGCAACATACTGTAGTGGCGTTATCAAGTTAGACCACAGAGTTGGTTTACCGGAAAAATGCACACTGGATATACCCACGCTGCACGGGCAGATTTCACGGCTTAAATCGCATGTTACGTTTACGGATTTGCAGATAGCAAATTTTCACTTAATTCAGGCTGTTTCTCCACCATAATTTTCTTTATCATAAAAACTCGAAAATCATTATGCGCTCAACCTGCAAACATATTCCCCATCAGTCCCAAAGCTAAACAAAAAGCGTCCCCCCCGCCGCAGGGGCACCCCAAAAACCACAACAAACCAACATGGCAAATCAGAGCTCTAGTTTGTATGCATTACTTTAAGCTTTCTGTAATAAAGTTTTGGTGACCACTCCGTACACACCCTTTCACACCCTTTTACTCCGTGCACAACCTTTTTGCGCTACCTTTCATTCCGTGCACAACCTTTTTGAGCACTACCTTCTACTCCGTACACAACCTTTTATTTTTTTTAAATTTTTTCACAGCAAAGTTCTTTCTGGAACTACCGCTTTTTCGTTAGCAGCAGTTATTTACTGCATATTTCAAAGCATCATCGACACTGACATACTACACGCACCGCGTGTAGTACTACCAACCTGACCGCAGTCAGCAGAGTAGGAACTCTGGAGATTGGTGTTGGTTCTGTTGCCTACTTCCGCAGACAACAGGTGCCACAAACACACTCTCACCACACACACTACCACACTACAGGAATACCACACAGTAACTTCCGCCTAGGTACACACTACTGCTTTCCCTAATCGAAGGTCACTCACAGCACTAACACCAACAGGATCACAATGATGTTACTCACTTTAATCTTATTGATGTTCACTCAACACAAGTCACACACAGACTGCCGAATGCTAGCCGACGACGAAGCGCAGCTTCTGATCGGAGGCTACCGATAAGAACACAGATCATACGTCATCGCTAGTACAACAGGGAACACTCGTACAAACGCACAGTAAAGTCATACAACATAATCCCAATTATGTCAACAGTTACAAAATCGAATTCCCGTAAGAAAATAATTCTAGGCGCCCTGGTGCCGGTTTTTCTTCGCAGGGTTTGGACAGTGCTTAAAGCTTGACATAGTGCAATCTTCGCTTTCCGAGCTTGACATAGTGCAAACGTTTTAGAGAAAAAACTCCAGATTACCATAAGTACATACATAACAGTTATCAAAGAGCTTAAAAGGACTTATTGCAGTAAACGTTTAATAAGACTCTTACTGATCGTGGATTGGTAGTGTACCGAGTGAATGGTGGTGTCGAAGGTTGTGCACGGAATGAAAGGTAGTGCCCGGAAAGGTTGTGCACGGAATGAAAGGTAGTGCAAAAGGTTGTGTACGGAGTAAAAGGGTGTGAAAGGGTGTGTACGGAGTGGTCACCTAAAGTTTTTAACTGATTTTTAATTTTTAGATATTACGAATTAGTTATAAAATGTTCATTTACTCCAGAATATGAATGTTGCCCAAGGAACTCAGAATTTCTGCGCTGGTGAATTATCGTGAATTTTGCCCGTGCAGCGTGGGTATATCAGTGCGCAATTTTCCGGTAAATCAACTCTGTGGTCTAACTTGATAACGCCGCTACAGTACTAAGTGCCATGTCTGACCTTGCCTCTATGCTCTTTGTATTAATAGTAATTGTCAGCACTTTTAATTTTTTGTGGTTCATATGATAAATGAACGTTTCTCCTACGCTATACAAAACGGAGAATACTGTCGAATCTCATTAATGATCTTTACTGAACACGCTCATGCTGGATACTCAATCGCTCAAACACGACTTCAGCTTCAGCAGAACGCTGAGAAAACAGACGTCTTTAGACACAGATAACTACGTGAAGCGGTGAAGATTCATGACAACAATTGCATAAACACTTGTTTACCGGTGAACGCAACTGTATAACAGTATACCTTACAATTTACATGCGTGACTTCACGTCACATAACACATACAAGGCTGGAGGCAGCAAAAACTATATTTATACTAAACTATTTAGCAATACCGTTCTTTGCTTTCAAAGGAAGTCTAAAAATTATAAAGGATGATTATATTAATTTTTATCCCGCGCGCGTTCGTTTATGCCACCGCTAGATAGGTTGCGAATTTTTGGAACATTTTAGAGTCCCTCTCCTAATCGGTCCCAGTCCCAGTGTGGCACTGTCACAGATGGTCACAGTCACATAAGGTCGCAGTCACGTAGACTCAAAGTCTCACCCAAAATCTCAAAGTCACGGTCACAGACTTTAGCAATACCCGCAACGTACGTACAAGGCTTCAGGGAAAGTCTGGAAAGAGAGCACTTCTTGATGCAATATTTCTTTCACTGACTTTGACCACAGGTGGCAGTAGTGTATAAAGATACGCCAGCGCGGCAAAATCGCTCCTGATTGACCACAAGAAAACTTTAATAACCTTGCTACCTAGTACCTAATTTTACTCTGCTTCAGCCCCGCAGCAGATGTATTACATTACACTGTAAAATTCTTCCTTCTTCTTATTACACTGTAAAATTTCGAAAATCTCATTTGCTACCATGGTGCAAATTCTCCCATTTGCTAGCTATACATTCTCTCATTTGCTACCATGGAACAATTGATCTGCAACGGCGAATTAATGAGGCGAATTAATGCGAAGTTTCTCGTTTCACAGGGTGTGTAAATTGTGGAATGACGTCATTTTACAAAAATTGCCACGTTACTTTACCGAAATAAGCTGCCTCCCGGAGAAAGACCAGAGATTGCCTAACATCGACCCAACCGTGGGTGTACTGCACTCCACGTTACCGAGAGTGCTAAGCAGTATCACGAAAGTCCTTACGCTCCGCAACTTTAAGCCTACTCATCTTCGGATCCGTTCACTTCTTCTCTTGCTACAGTCTAAGGATGTGACTTTGCTTGTGCTACGTCTAGAAAACTGCAAGGTGGACTATGAGGAAGCTGTATTTCCATGGCTATGGCACGAAAACATCAACGAGTTGGAACACCACGACGGCTTGTGCTGTTATTATAATCTCATCAACTTATCCCTTCTCTGGAGCAGTCAACGTTGTCGGCGGCTGCAAATCGTTAATTATAAGATCAAGAACGTTTTCAATTTCGAACACCTCTTCGGACTGAATGCGTACCCTAGGTTAGCCAGTAAGATTGAACTTCCGGTTGTTATCCATAATGTTATCTTGGAATGTGGGGTGGATCGAAGAAGTCTTTTCTGCAATTTGATGACGGCTATAAATGCTGAATGCGTTCCGGTCAGCGATGAAACCCGAAAAAAAGTGGCGACGACGCTCATCGATTGTCTCTTGGACCACAGCGGAACGAACCAGCCAATGCGTTTCCATGCCCGGCACAGATTGTTGATGTTTCGTGTTGTTATTAATTTGTAAGTAAAAACATTACAAGATTTTTTATTTTGCAGAGTGTTTTAAGTATTTCTTTTTCTAACAAATTTTATTTTGTTTATTTTCAAGTTTTTAATTGTTTAACGTTTTGCAAAGGTTATACGTGCTGCACTGTTTAGGTAATTGTAATGTATAGTAACGCCAAGTCAGACTCGGAAAGGTTAACGGCTACCCTAAGGCTTAAGGTTTCCATACCGCGAAGGCTCCGGATACCATTTCTCGCGCCCAAAATTCCCGACACCACCATTCACCATCATTAGTTATTCGACGCTACTGTTTAAATATAAACTTTCTTATTTTAAGGTGACCACGAGCCGGGCGGGAAAAAAATACAGCGTCGTTTTCTTCCCGCTTTTTACTTTCTTGTGCGCTCATTTCCCTTATCGTTAGCGCATTTTTTGGTCGCACTGGTTTTGGTTTGCTTTATATAAGTAGTACTAAGTGGTACTAACGAGGGGAATACCCGACCATGATGGCATCAGATCAGCCTGCTCCTGGTATCGCTAGAATCCCTAAAAAATCAGTAATCGCATACAAAAATGAAAAATCAAAATACCCCATACCTGATATGGAGTATTTTGATTTCGTAACTATCAAGTACAACTTTTTATTCGGCAATGGCCACCTCTTAGATTAAAAAGTCAGCGCTTGTACACATTAATTAAAAGGATAGAAATTTAAACGTTAAAACACAACCATGATCATCATTGTTGTACGAAATTTATCCCGCGCATTCGGTGTTCCCAATACTGCTGCCGCATTTCCTTTAACAACTGCCAGACTTCAACGCTGTTTCAAAAAGGCCGTAGAACGTGGCTGCCGGTAGCATCACGGACTTTCCTCCCAACAAATCGAATCATCTCTGCGATGGCCATTTCGACACTTCCAAACGTCTCGACTGCAAGTGCGTAAAACAGATATCCCATTTTTTCGAGAAAAGCATAAGTCCGCGTTTACTGCCCTCCGCTGGATGGGCTACACTCCCGACTTTTTGGAGCTTGCCCGCAGATGAGAGCTGGCTCCAGTGTTCCTACAAGTTGCGCCCCAGACGACCGCTCTTTCTTCTCGTACCGGTATTAACGTCATCCCATCGGGCCGCTTATTATTTGTAATTGACAGTCCTGGTGGTTCACTCTGGCATGGATAACCCGCAAGTTCCCAACCCCATTTTCTCTCGTTATTAAGTTCCACATGGCGTGACCATCTTCGTTTACTGCTGGAACAGGATAAGCCGTGGTGGCCAGTTATTTCAACGTGGCTAAGACAGTGGGTGCAGCGGTGTTCCTCGACCACAGTAAGGCCGAAACGCAGCGTGACACCAATTCGTACTTCTTCGTCCCTGAGGAAATTTCGCAGGTTTGGTGCCGAGAGAGCATTTAACCAAGCGCCCGAGTCACGATGCAAAGCCGCCAGCAGCACAGCTTTTTCTGTCTCTCCGGTGACCGCTAGCCTTATGGTGGACAGTGCCGTATCGATCATTGATCTATCCCACTTGGACTGAAACATTCTCGCCTCTGTAGCTGGAAGTTCACATTTCGTCCACTCCGCCCACTTCTGAATAACTGGATCCAGGAACGCTTAACTATAGCAGGCCGATAGATTTTTGAGATCAACGGAATAACAGAGTGCCAAAAAGGCAGAAAAAACTAGCGACTCAGTGGTCCGAAGCCCCAATCCGCCGTCCCGGACAAGCAACGTCATCTGTTTCCACTGAATATCATTAACACGGGCATTAACGATAGACTGAATGCAGTCCCTCATAGCTTCGTCCATAGCCACCATGAAGGCCATATGCTCATAGCATCTTGAAGTGCGAAATCCATAAAGCAGCTTTGGGATGAGGAGGCAGCTTTTCAGCAGGTAGAGGCTAAAATGTACAGGAATTACTTTCAAACGGCGGAGAAAATCCTTCAGCTGCTTGGTCTTTGTGGCGTAGTGCAGTGGCACTGACGTCACGAGAATGTTGTGTCCGCTGTGACCTGTGTGTCCAGCATGGCAACTGCGGAAGCAGTGTGCCTGTGTTGCTATGTTGCCGATAATTAGTTGGTTTTGTGCGCCCTCAGTGGCGGGTTAATATTAAAGATATTACGCCACCTTCAAGTCGTGACAACTTGGCGTGAAGGATAGTAGTAATGGCGGTAGATATGTGAGAGTGTACACTGCGGTTACTGCCTGAATCATGCTGACGAGGAGCGAGGGGCGAGGGAGAGGCACATCAACTCCATCCATCGGATGTAAAGCGTGGAGTACTGGGAACGAGCGCCTGAATCGTGGATGGGATCCACGAGGGAAAGCAGGGCGGGAGGAGAAGTGCCGCACCTGTGGAGGCAGCTGGGAAAACCGCGCGTGTGTGGCGGACGAGTACCATGCTTCTGGAAGGCACGTGACCATGAAGCGTCTGCTTAAGGCTGCCCAGCCAGGGAAGAGAACTCGTTTCGGCGGCGCACCAGGAGAAAAGGGCGAAGCCTGGAGACCGATGGTTCCTTCATGGCAGAGGGTGAGCGAAGCAGAACAACCGTGAGTGAGTGAATTTGAGAAGGTGAAGACGCCAGTGACGATGGCAGTGCCAAGGCAGACCGGAGTACCGGAGTGGGAAAAGCGTCATGCGAAGAGTGCTGTAAGAGGATCCAGTGTGAGTGAGTTTGACCTTCACCAGCAAGGGAGAATCAGCGACTTGTACGTACGAAGGACGCTATGGCAGGTTGATTGAATAAGTGTGTTTTAATGCGCAAAATGGAAAATAATGTTCGTTGCTAAGAAAATTCGGTGCTTGTATCTGTACGTACGTGTTTTGACTAGTATGACTATTGACTATGGATTTGTACTTCTTTGTTAACACTTCAGAAGTGAAGGGCGTGTGGCGTAGTGCAGTGGCACTGACGTCACGAGAATGTTGTGTCCGCTGTGACCTGTGTGTCCAGCATGGCAACTGCGGAAGCAGTGTGCCTGTGTTGCTATGTTGCCGATAATTAGTTGGTTTTGTGCGCCCTCAGTGGCGGGTTAATATTAAAGATATTACGCCACCTTCAAGTCGTGACAGTCTTGTTTTGCAGGAACGTCTCACAGGCTGCAGACGTAAGCGGTGCGCCCAGTAGTATCAGTTCTGCATCCTTACGACACGAATTTCCAGCCAAATGTCGAGCACCATTTGAACGGCATGCAGCCGATCTGCTGTAAATTGGCCAAGACCATAAGTTTCGCATTTGGTCAGATTGAGCTCTAAGCCTATATCAAAACGCGGGAAAGGATTAGACGTATAGCTGCATTAACTTTGTGGGCCGGTCCGGCTAGCGCGACATCATCTAAGGACCCCACTGCCACATCACAATCTAAGTTTTCGAAAACCGGTAAGGTGGCGAGACCATATCCGAAAGGTCCAGCAGGATCGCCCTGTTGAGCTCCGGGCTTGGATGACACATGGAATGATCCGCAAGACAAATGTGACGAGCTGCGGTAAGACTGGCAGAAATACCGGTAATACGCGGGAATTTAGCGCGTACGGCTGAAAGAAGGACATCGCGACGTAATGTATGAACGCATTACGGAAATCTAAGTTTGCCACCACCCGTGCGTCGGTGTGCGCCGCTTCCAAATAATTACGGACAGCATACACGGCCCTTCGGCTCCTCCTTTAATCCCAAATCCCACTTGCTGAGAACTAAACATTGCTGCTGCTTCATCCGCGCACCGGCTGCTTGCACTCTTTGAGATTAATCGCCGAATGGTGTCACCCACTGGCCACTGCAATCGGTCTCGCGCCGCCATATTTCTTTTCCAAGTGGGATTAAATTGCACCAAAAAAGTATGGCCGTATACCGTCGGGCAAATCTTTGTACAGCACCATATTAAGTAGGTTGCGTTTTGCACGGCCATACGATTAACGACAAAATTAACGACGATTTTAACGTTGTTAATTTAATGTTCCGTTGATTCGAATAAGAGGTTGCGTTATACACTAAACAATTTACTGCCCCTGAAATTAACGGGAGGAACTGCTATCCACCAGTCTCAATTCATCATTTCGTTTACCAGCGTAAAGATAACAAAATGCAGATTTTTCATGTGATGTAAATACGTTTGAGAGAACTGCGGTTTAAGTTTCCGCACAGACGTTATAAAGATTAGTCTTTTCATTCGGGAATGCGTGAATTTCTTGAAAACTGGCGAGGATGCAGTGATGCACAGTACAGGCTACAAAGTTGCTACAGAACTTGGAACATTTGGTTGCTGAATCAGCAAAGTATTCGTATAACTGTGTTTTAGTTTTTACAATAATTTTTACATTTATGACAAAGTAAATTATTTTGCTTTCTAAATGGCTGGCAAAAACATCACTGGACAGAAGTTCACCTGTCGAAACTCACAAATCAAGACTGGTACAATTTCTGAAAATTCGAGTCGAGTGGGCAACTCAGGATTGAATGCCCAGGCAGATATTCACTGGGTAGACTGTCTAGTCTATGCAGTCTTCGTGCTCAACGGTCCATATGGGCCCAGTCGTTCATTACTAAATTTCAACGTCGTTATTAACGAAACGATACCCCCTTCGTTTCGTTAATAACGACGGGTACCGCCGTTTAAACGTTCGTTAATTGTACCCCGTCGTTAATTCTATCGTCAATCGTACCCCTTCGTTGATACCGCAACCTGCTTATTAACCAGGTCGGTGAGGGCTAAACAAAGTTCGCTTGTTGTGTCGTCTTTACGGCCCAGGAGGTCCTTGAGGTGTTGAGGGCGCAGGCCAAATACTTCTCCTGCTAAACCCGAGGGAAAGCTGAACACAGCGGACATAACTTCTGCTGGCGAGACTGCTGGAGTCAGAACGGTATTGTCAGGTGGTGGAGGGGAAATGCCTTCGTCAGGGGCGGTTGGATGTTTTTCCTGAAGAGATTCCACCATGCGAGGATCTATTTCAGCAAGTTTATCTTCAGCCAGCAGCACTCTTATTGCGCCTTTGACGTTTACATCCTGCAGCATGGAGGTAATGAGAGCACGTAGACGTTCAGGGGAGGTTTCGGTGTTCTTGGGTTGTATCAAGTACAATGAGTACGTAGGTAAAGCCGGCACCCCGACGGTCTGCTGACCGACAAAACGTTTACTCGGCAACTGTTGAAAGACAATTCGACGATTGACGAATTGCTGAACGGCATTTTGCTGACGACAATCTGCTGAAATTTTGAAAGCATAAGAAAACAAGGAAAATGGCCCGGTACATAGTGTCAGAAATGGGATACATACACTAAATCTTTCGCTTTCGATCACTCCGAAATTAATAATAATGAGTCCGAATCACTTTTTTGTAACACTTTATATCATTCTAAAGCTAAATGATTTGTCTATATTGTTCTGAAAACCGTTGGCGCGCGCAACGTCCGGTTGCCGAGATATGGCCAGCTAAAATGAGCGAAAAGTTTAAATGCATTGTTGTGTACCAAAAGTCTGGTTATTATCCGATCTTTGAAATTTTGCTACAAAAGAAACATGGCCATGAAGTCGAAAGTGAACCGATATCAGATCCATAGAATTTTTTCCCGATTTGAAAACGAATTTCGAAAAATTTTAAAACTCGTTTTAAAATTAACCCTCCAGCGGGCGGTACCCGACGGAGTGCGAGTTTCCTTTTGAAAATCGGGATTTCCCGATGAAAAAAATCAATTAAGAAAGGGAATTTTTTGTAAGCTTGTGCTGACCATAGGTCAGCCGTGGTGACTAGGGTGTTTGCCAACGCCAATGCCCACGGGCAGTCTACAGCATAAAAATGTTTAATTTTGTAATAATTAGACGAACGGGAATTACATAAAAGCAATAACTTTATTAAATAGAACAAAAAAAGCACTTGAAAACAAGCTGACCACTGGTCAGCAAAAAATTAAAAACTTCCAAATTCCGTTACCATGTATTTTGACCACTATTACAGATAGAATACAGGAAACAACCGATGTCGTTGACGATATTTCTCTCCCAAAACTTTCATTATACTCTCATGTGAGACTGCACGAAGCATTATTTTTGAAGTTTAACTTTGCATTTCCTGCATTTCTGGCACGCCTAGCCGCCTTTATACTGCCGCGCTTGCATTTTTCCTTGTTGTGGCCGCAAGTGCCAGTGTCTAAAATGCGGCGCGGATAGTCCAGCTGCAGTGGTCATTGGAGTAAAATGAGAATTAGTGGTCACTAGCACTTTTTCGAACGCATTAGCGACCGAAAGGAACTACTTAGGCTGCCGCAAAGGTCAAAATCATCAGCGTCAATGTGCACGTACAGTGTACAGTTACTGTAGTTTTCAACCGCCCGAAACTGATCAAAACTCAAAATCCATCTTTTTCAGCAAAGCTGCCCCACTCTCGCATGTCCAAACTGCATTAACATGTAGAAACGCGGTAAAGCGCACGGTGTTGCACCGCCATTTTACAACTACTGTCATTGCAACGACGGTAGATTTACAATCAGGACTACCATGTTCGGTTTCCCTAAGCGTTCTGTTTTCCTGAAGCAGACAAATTTTTAAGGCGATATTGTTTTTCGCCGACCGCCCGGGGTGTTGATACGCGAAAGCGCTTTTCACAAGCTTCCGACCAACAGAACTGCGTGGCGCATGCTTTGCGTACGAACCGACAGTAACTTGATCTGACTACGTGATATAGGGAAACAGTCGAAATGGCACCCGCCCGTGTATCTGAGACCCTTCATGGGCAATGGTGTTGGCACGCAACACAAGTTTTTGACGGACTGTGGTCTTCCACTGTTCAACTTACAGAACCCGTGTTAGTCAATTTTGGATAGAACGTTGTTTATTATACCTTGTTGATTTATCTGCGGTTTAATTATTCATCAGCTAATTAGTTAATTAGCAAGACGTACGAGAGCTTGGAAAGTCCGAAATTAGCCATTTTCGGGCAACGGTCATTTGTGATTGACTTGAGATACAAGTTAGAATTATGTGTTTACTGCTGCTTTAAAGTCTGTTATTGCTAATATGCTAATTGATATTCATTAACTGTTCGCAATCACTGGGGAAAAAATTCAGAAAACCATGTTGCGCCCTGACGCCAATGCCCCTCAACGGGTTAAGGGAAAGTGCTATGAACCTGAAATTGATTCACTTTTGATTTCATGGCCATGTGTCTTTTAAAGTAAAGTTTCACGAAGATCGGGTACTAACCAGACTTTTGGTACACAGCAATGCATTCAATCTTTTCGCCCATTTTAGTACGCAAGATCTCGGCAACCGGATGTTGCGCGCGCAAACGATTTTCAGAACAATGTACGCAAATCATTTAGCTTTGGAATGACATAAAGAATTATAAAATAGTGGTTCGAAGTGCGCGAAAGCGAAAGTTTTAGTGTATGTATCCCATTTTTGACACCTTGTACCGGGCCATTTCCCTTAAGAAGTCACGAGAAAACATAAGCAAACGTTGAAAAATATATTTTGTGATCTGTCTTTAAATTCTCCATACCTCAAACACAACTTATTCTTGTAATGATAATATTAATATTTAGATTCAACAAATTTTCAATGGAGCATTCGTATCGGGCAAAAGACGCACATTTGGACGAATACGAGGATTTGAAAGTTGTAGACATTCTCGGTCTTAGCGACGCCACGCTTACTATTCTATCGGGTGTATCCGACTACATTTCTGAGGTCAAGGCGTTGCAAGCTGCAAAATGGGCAAAGCACGTGGCTCCAGTTCCGTGGTAATCTGGCGGCATGCAAAGCCGAACGCGAAGAAACACACTAAAGCGAAAAATGGCAAAACTCCAATCTGCTAGCGTTTTTCAATATATGTGCAAGCAATGATTACTTACTGGACCTGACTGTCGCTCATTTAGCGCGAGTTCAACTGGCTTATCATTTGCGAAATTCGGCGGCATGCGTCTTCATTAAAATGTTTACATATGATAAATAATGCTTATTGTACCTCGGTTTATGTATTTGTAACAGTTTGGAGAAAAACATTGTCGTTTATAAAGCTAATTAATGGACTTTATACACAGTAATTCACAGATTTTATAATATATATACCGTTACAGTATATAAATCAGTGTTACAATGCGGAGACTATAACGTTACATCCAAATAAATGGCCATAAACCTCATACCACAATGCAAAGCACGACAAGACATCTCTCGATGTACAGTAAAATGTGAAACAAAATGAAAGGGTGCGGCTATTCCCACTTCCTCACACCACCTTCTGACTATTGCCACCACCTTCGCACACCTCTTTTGGCTATTCGCACCTCTTAATTGCATTTTTAAACCAATGTGAAGTTTGCGTCTTAGAGCCTTGATTACGAGTATAGATTGTCATAACATTCTGTACCTGACAGTTCCACGCATAAAATATCAACACTAGCAGTGCTTGTATTCATGTTTGAAATAAAATTTGGCTGTCGACAGCCATGAAACCACAACGCCAAAGAGTCGAGCAAACTCATAACAAATTACTTTGAAAGCACGGTAATAAGAAATCAAGAATTTTATTAGCAAAATTGGCTGTGGAAATCAAATTGGGCGCAACGGCGCTGAACGTGAACTTGCAGTGAGCACTGAAATTGCCACAGAGCCAATTAGAAGCAGCTGAAAGTAGCTGCCGGTGACCATAGTCTGTATCAAAAGTATTGCAACTAGTGTTGCTTTACTTAGTAAAAGTAATCAGTAAACCTTACTTAGTAAGCCGTTTTTGCCTCTTACTAATTAAGTAAAAAGTAAGTAAGCCGCAAAACAGAAAAGTAAAAGTAAAGTAAAAGTAAGACCAGCCGAAGCTTGAGAAGTAAACAGTAAGTAAAAGTAAGAGGCGCGAAACGGGAAAAGTTTAATTAGTAAATAAGTCTTTTTACTAAGCGTCCGCAACAGATAAGAGTGGCAGGCATCAACAGAATTCTGCTGAACATGCCTTTTTCCATAGCAATTACGTTTGGCAGTACAGGTTTTTTTCTGAATCGCTAAAATTTCGCTGCACTGGAGACGCTTTCAACCGCGTAGGTGGGCGGGTTACGTGACTGCCAGGCATATTAGTTAGTGCCGCTTCACTGCAGTACGTACATGTACCTTGGCACCGGATACGGTGTAATGCTTCTGCTAATTTTTGTCAAAAAATAAGTTCTGAAATTTTACAGAACCAAATCGCTTCATTAAAACAAATTTTTGAGCACAGATTAAAATTAATTAATCGGTGTGCACTGTGGACACTGTGCCAGTGTACAAGCAGTTATTTTTGTTTGACATGCGTAATATGTTTAAGAAACGAATATGGCAAAATTGAAAACTTTTGTTGCGCACTGCAATTTATCGCAAAACACAAATAGTAAATACTATTTTACTATTGGTTACTAAGTTAGTAAAAGTAAGTAACGTTACGATAAAAAAAGTAAAAAGTAAGTAAAAGTAAAGAAGAAAGATTATGAAAAGTAAATAGTAAAGTAAATAGTAAAGTAAATAGCCAGACGGAAAGTAAAAAGTAAGTAAGGTTTTGGGGCAATAGTAAATACAACACTGAATTTGCAACCACCGCGTGTGCCGTTTCGCGTTTTTAGGTAATACTCAAAAACTTTGTCATTAACGCTTCGCCTCCAACCAGTTACACTTAGTTCGCGCAGTTTGTTCTGAGCGATTTTTGCAATTTGTTTTTGCGATTTTTGTTTTAGAGGATAATTCTTGTTGGGCGACCGATCCTTTTGTTATTGCACAGGAACCATAATTTTCTTAACTGATTCAGTTTGATGCTGATTCAGTTATTTGCCAAGGTCGTTGTTTGTGTTGGCGGCTGTGATGAGTACGCAGAAGCGATGGATTTCCTTGGTGTTCAGTCCGTCTATGCCAGTGGTATGGCGTATCGAAAGACCGACGCCTCCACGCGGCGTTGATGGGTGTCTGATAGCGCGTATGGGAAAGAGTTCGTTGATTGTATGCGCTGGAAACCAGGATGATGCTGCTAGAGGTACCAAGCACGTTAGCCGGCTTGATCGCTTTCGTGATCGATGGACGGATCTTGCACCGATGCTAGCCCACCGCGCGTTTGGTGTTGTAGCGGCACTTGATGGTCGCATCTACGCGGTGGGTGGCTGCAACGAAGTAGGGAAGTGTTAACTGCCGTGGAATTTTACGACGCCCAGAAAAATCTTTGGCAGTCTGTGGCTGGATTATCCCTTCCCTTAACTGGTCTTGCCATGGTGGCTCACTGGCACTGGCTTCTAATGACCGGCTGTATGTTTTTGGGGGAAAGTCGGAGCCGCGAGCAGACCTTGTAAATCTTAACTCGGCTTTCTGCTACGATCCGGCAGTGGATGCATGGAGTAAACTGGCGGACCCACACAAGGACTGCACGACGATGGAGCAGTCCTTGTGTGGGTCAAAATGGTCTGGTTTACGTTATCGGTAAGAAGAAAGTTACTCTCTGTTCTTTTATGTGGTTCCAGCCTACGTTACTACGTTAAGCCGATACAGTGGTACCAAATTCGTGCATGCACGGGAACTTGCGCGTACAGAGTCTGCACATGCAGTTCGCGAAAGTTTTTCTTACATTGTCTTACGACATTCTAATTCTGTGGCCAAATGATTGAACATATTCTCGCATGGGCCCGCGCTGAACCTTGGATTCGGATTCGGAGTTTCATTACTCAAACTTGGATTCGGATTACCTAACTTGGATAACATAAGTTGGATTACTTGACTTGGATTACTCAATTTGGATTACATAAGTTGGATTACTGAACTTGGAATACTTGGATTTCTTAAACTGAACTAATTATTTTTGGGCTTCGATTACGTATTCCTATGCTGTTTTCTCGTACTTATTATTTTCCTCCTCTCAGGGTATTCTTAGGCATCTTAGGTTTTTAAGGTTATTCTTAGGTTATTCCTAGGTTTCTTAGGTTATTCTTAGGTTTCTTAGGTTTTTTAAGGAATATAAGAAACCTAAGAACTAAGAAACCTACGAATAACCTGAGAAACATAAGAAGCCTAAGAATACCCTGAGTGAAGGAAAAGCGGCGTATTACTATCGAAATATGGGTATTGGAAAAAATAAAACAATTATAAAGGTCATACATATTCGTACCGGCATCGCAAATTTTGTAGTTTAATTGAACAAAAATGGTTGTTAAACGCCAAGCGAAAACGCCTGCCGGAGAAGTTGCAAGACGAAAAAGAACGGACGATTCAGCAGGTACGGTCAGCGCCGTTAAGCGCAATTTGTTCAATCCATGTAGAGTCCGCATGGCTTTAGGACCTTTAGGAGTGACTAATCAGCCAATCCCGCGACAATCCGGACCACGTGCACATAAAGCAAACTGTATGTCATGCATTTTGATTGCAGCTTTTAACTTGCAAAAATAATTTCCTTTCGATTAGATCGTAAGACATCACCAGCAGAAAACGCAAACAGGAGAAAACAGCAGAATGCGCAACGCAACGGCGATCTAGGCAACGCAGAGACATGGAAGCGCATGCCCGGAGACGTAGTACCAACTAAATGCAGCCAAATGCATCAAACACAGCATTAACACTGGCACGAATCCTCCGACAGCAAGAAACCTACGCAGATACTCGCAATGGGAGAAAGAAGCCATGGACAAGTAGATTAGAAGATTGGATAAAACTCGGTTTCATCAAACCTTGTCAGTCAAACTACGCAGCGAATTTGGTCTTAGTTCAGCAGAAGAATGGGATAAGGACATGCGTTGACTATCGAAATATGAACGCTTCGACAATAAAAGACAAGTATCCTCTCTCTCGAATAGACGATTGCCTGGACGTGCTTCGTGGAGCAAAGTACTTTTCCGGATTGGACATGGTTCAGGGATACCTTCAAGTTCCAATGGATGAGGAGTCGAAAGACAAGACCGCTTTCCTAACACCCTTAAATCAGTACCGCTTCGAGGTAATGCCGTTTGGCTTAACGAACGCCCCCCGCAACCTTCATGAGAATGATAACTAAAATTTTCAATGGAATTACGTACAAATTTGTTATTATCTACTTGGACGACATAAACGTATTCAGCAAAACCTTCGAAGAGCATCTAGCTCACCTGGAAGAAGTTTTACGAAGACTTTCCGAATCGGACCTGAAACTGAAACCCTCAAAGTGTACATTTGGACATACACAAATTGACTTCTTGGGACACCTAGTAAATCCCGACGGCATCAGTCCTAATCCGAAGAAGGGTGAAGCGATCACCAAACTCGAAGCTCCGATGAACAGAAAACAGTTACGATCTTTTCTGGGAATGGTTGTTTACTATGGTAAATTTATCCGTGACCTTACGACACGTTCTGCTCCTCTTCACGTCCTGACTTGCAAAGAAACGCCATACTTCTGGACCTCCGAGCACGAGAAAATTTTCCAAGAACTGAAGACCTGCCTCAGGTCCAACCCGTTACTAGCTCACTTCGACCGCGACTTACCACATGTAATCGAAACGGACGCTTCCGGACTGGGAATGGGCGCCATACTCCATCAGATTGAACCCGACGGATCGAAGCGCGTCGTTGCCTATGCGAGTCAATCCTTGTCCAAATCCGAGAAAAATTACAGTGCAACAGAACAAGAACTTCTGGCCGTTGTGTGGGCTTTGTACAAATTTCGACCCTACATCGGCGACCCTAACCGACCGTTCGAGGTCGTTACCGACCACAACGCTTTGAAAGGCCTAATAAACGCGAAAAACCCTACCGGACGACATGCCAGATGGATTTCGCGGCTACGCCAGTACAATTTTACGATCGGCTACAGACCCGGAAAAGAAAATGTAGTTGCGGACTGCCTCTTTAGATATCCTTTTGACTGTCAAATTACCCCTAAAGGTCAACAATTCTCAACACCACTATTTATTATCACCACAACCAATCTCAAGAAAGAGCAATGAATGACCCATTCTGCCAAAGAATAATCAACATCCTCAAAGGACCTACTCACACTCAAGCGTATCGATATCGCCGTGTGCGATTTACCCTCATCTCGGATCTTCTCTACCGAATCGCCTACCGCAACGACAAAATGACTTTTCTACTGGTCGTACCGAAGACTATGCACGCCGAAGTTCTTAAGAACGCGCATGACCGTTCCGGCCATTTTGGTCAAGAAAAGACGTACTACAACTTACAAGATCGTTATTACTGGCCTGGAATGACTGAATCCGTATCCCGTCACCCGCATCCTGTATTCCATGCAACGTTAAAAAGTCGCCAAACGGGAAGTAATCCGGATATTTGCAACCGACTAAAGTCCATAGGCCGTTTCATACTTTTGGAATCGATTACCAGGGACCTTTTACAACATCAACAAAAGGCAATCAGTATTTACTGGTCGCGATCGATCATCTAACAAAGTGGATCGAAACCAAACCGGTTCGCAGTGCCAACGCCGAAAATGCAGCAAAATTCCTTATGGAAAATGTCATCTTGCGACATGGAGTTCCGTCCTTCATCGTTTCCGACCGGGGTACACACTTCTGCAATGAGCTGTTATCCCAGTTGACTAAGCTAGTCAATTGTGAACAACGGTTCACAACAGCTTATCACCCCCAATCGAATGGATTAACAGAGCGCGCAAATCAGACGATTGCCCAAAGCCTTTCAAAGTATGTAGATCAGCATTACAGATACCTTTCGTCACTCACGCCATCAACACCTCACTCAGCAAAACAACAAAATTTTCCCCGTTTGAACTTCTCTATGGAAGAAAAGCCACAACTCTCGACGTTGCCACCAGTGCCACTGAACGACAAATAATGGACGATCTGGATCAATACGTTAAAGAAACCCGAATTTTTCTCCGCGACGCTCAAGAAATTGCAAAACTCCGCTGCAGTGCTGCTTTCAATCAAAATGCACCACTTTATAATCAGCATCGAACGACCGTTGATCATCCAATCGGTAGTCTTGTTTACCGTTGGAATGTGCCTCGAGTTGTTGACAAGACCGGCGCGATCAGGAAAACAGAAGGAAGATTGACAACCAAATTACTCAAGAACTGGCATGGACCGTATAAAATATTAGAGAAAGTCAGCAATGTCAATTACAAGATTGCCAATGTTAACGGCCGGCGTAAGATCGACACTGTTCATGTTTTGCAACTCAAGCCTTGGTACAACCATGCCGACGAAGAAGTTAACGTGCAACAAACAGAACAGCCCCAGGCGAAGCAAGATCAGCCAGCTGAAAGTGAAAGCGAACCGCATAGACCACGCTACAACATGCGCCAGCGAAAGTGAATTTCATTCTACATACACCATTATCCCACCACTCCACCATAATCTCTACGAGATTCCATGAAGAAGGCGAATGTCATATAGAGAATGTATTTCCGTGTCACGTCTGTACATCTACATAGCCTCTTCTGTGTTATTTACCTAAATACCTTCACCTCTTTTACTCGTATATAAACGCTACTGCTTCTTTCATACGAGATTCATGCTCTCATCATTCTACGATCATCTCGATGCTATTTCTCTACGATCATCGCCGACTGTACGCTTATCATTAAAGCTAAAATCATCCGCGTATTCTCATTTACTAGAAGAACCCTGTATAACAATGGCGTTGTGCAGCTTAAGTTCCTCAAGCAGAGTCCGGTTCTTGTCCCGGCAGTCACGGCAAATGTTACGCGAAGGCTCTGTGAGCGGGCCCAGCTGATTTACCCTCACGTCACTTGGTAACTTGTGCGATGCCTCTGGTATCGGGATAGACTGCGCTACCGTCGTTCCTCCTGGTTATTCCGGGGTCGGAATCGGTGTTAAAACGATGGTGAACTTCGAATGCAAGTAGTCGCATCCGAGTAGCACTGGGATGTCCGCTTCGGTCGGCTGGACGTGGAATGTGTGGTGACTCGTAAAGCCCTGCATCGTTACAGGTGCGGTACAGCAGTGAGACACCATGAACGCGACTTGTCCGCCTACACCAAGGATTTTGGTGAAATATCCGAAGGGTTGCACCGTTAAACCGTTCCTCTCGCAAAACCGTTGCTCGATGAGCGAAGTTTCCGCTCCGGTATTCAGCACGCCAGGTGGGCGTGGATCCGACTTGGATTTCGTGTGTCCAAGCTTAAACTGTCTTCGGTTTTTTATGGGTTCCTTTTTCGAAGGCAACCTCCCGTACCGTTGGTTTGATCGGGATCAATGAAACTGGTCCGTGGTCGGCTAGCTGTTGTGAACCTTGTGTAGGTTCAACGCCGGGGTTGGCCACTTCGCGCACTTCTGGTCGGTTCGCGACTCCGTCCGTCGGTTTGTTAGTAGCTTCTGCCCGTCGTGCCTGATCCAGTATTCGTTCCTCCATTGAGACTTCCATTGGTCTCAATTTCGACCACATATAGTCGAGGTTGAGGAATGTTCAGGAGCCAGCTACCGTTCTTGCTGGTCGCTCCTGCGTCTGGGAGAGGTCCGCTTCCTGCTGCAGCCAGTAGGCGGGTGCCTGTGCTTTCAGTGGGAACGTGTCCCATATTTCGACTTCTCCCGGTTCTTCGGTGAGGTCGATGGCTGCCATTGTTGCAGCGTATCTATCCGTTGTACGGGCGGATGGTACATTGGGGAAGTTTCTGTTGCCCCGGTGCGTGGATCGGCGTCCCGGTCCTCCACGTCTTGGGCCTCGTCTGGGCTGCTCGGTTGAGTTTATCCTCACCGGCAATCCGGTCCAACTTTCGTGGCCGGGCCGTACTACGTCACTTTGTGTGACGGGCGGCGCAGTCGCATTGTTTGCGCTGCGTAGGTCGGGTGGTTCTTGCGTTCCGACCTCCGACGTCTAGTAGATGCGCTGGATCGGTTGCCTCGAGTGCTTGTTGCATCCCAGGCCAAGCTTCGACGGTGTCATTGTTGACGTACACGCCGAGCTGGGCGGCCAACTAGGATATTGTCGCACTAACCGACCACAAAGGTCGGTTGTGCAAGCCGATCACAAAGACCGGTTTTGGAAACGTGGAACGAATTATACTGAAGCCGGAACTGCAACGACGCAGATCGCCGAACCACGATTAGCTACCCTAGCCGACTAGGTACATGGTAGCCGACCGGAGAAGTCGAGATTAAGGCCGACCACAAAGGTCGACCATACCGGCCAAAAGAAGTCGACCGGGAAGAATGGACGGAAGCCAGCAGTGGTTACGTGGCAGTCTAACCGGATTCTCCGTTGAACCCAGACCTACAGGCTCTGTACCTGGCATCCAATCGAGTCTCCCCCGGACGATATCGGGTAAACCAGCCGATTCACCGGTGACCACGACTACGCGCGTCTCGAACGTGCTGCCATTCCCTGAAGAGGAACAGCGACGGTGATTTGGCCGCCACTCCAACGACTCCGCCGCGACCTGCTTCCCCATGTCTTCAATGGAACATCCTAGGCAGATCGAGTTAGAATACTCGACCTGCACCCCCTCAACGAACCCTGATGGCGATGACCACCTGCCCGCAACAGTAACGGCCAGTTGGCCAACGTCACGGGCGAAGAAAAAAATTCCCAGCGGACGTGAGTTGTCTACCCCCAACAGAAGCGGTTAGGCGTCTCAGGTTCGCGACAAAACGAAATGGAAGAGTCGGATCTGACGACCTCAGGGCCTTGCATGTGCATGAAGTTTAAACCAAAGAGCTGCTTCGCCAACCGGGGCCACAAAGACCCTAACGTCGTAAGCGAGCACAATCGCATGACGGAACGCCAGTCACTCGGCCAACAGACGCCAGAGGAAATCGTGACCGTGCGGGACTCGACCGCCCAGAGGTATGACTAGCCAATAGTAGCTCGGATCCGACCCAGAGTTCGAGTAATCGCAGAAGGAACGGAGTCGTGCTGCTGAACATCCTTCTGCCAGTCAACGCTGACCGAAGGATGTCCGAACAACAGAGACCCGGTCAACTGTAGCCGCACGCACTGAACTCCCAAGACAGAAGGCCTAACCGACCTTGAACGGAAGTCGGAAGTCACCAGACGGAGGTCGGAAGCGGACGACAACAAGTCGGAAAATCAAGCAGAAGTAGCAAACCGACCTCCTGGTGGAAGAACTTAGCTTTTTGGCGGATAAAACACAAAGTTTATCCGACCTGAGGAAGTCGGAAAATAGCCGACCTCAGAACTTTGACATCAATAACCGACCTCGAGTCGAAGTCGGAAGCGACCGCACAGAAGTCGGACGGACGCGACAATAAGTCGGCAAAGCCATTTGGAAGTCGAGAACCGACCTCCTAACGGAAAAATTCAGCCTTCGGACGGATGAGCACACAGTTCATCCGACCTCCTGAAGTCCACCATAACCGACTACAAGTCGGAAGTTGGAAATTCGGTCAACATGACGGAAGAAGACCGATAGCTGTCTGCGGTGGACGAATTCGACTTGAAGGAACTTGTTTAGCCCCACATGGGCATGTTATTGCAGGTTAACCCTAGTCGACCACCGACGGATAGGATGACCGACCTTGATGGAAGGTCGGATAACAACGAATGGAAGTCGACTTGACACCTCCATCGAAGAAACTTATGAGCTCCGACCGGACCTTCGAGCCAGTTCGACTCGGATTACTTCAAACCAGGCTCGTCGTAGCAGATTGAACGGTTGTAACCGACCACATTTGAACGGAACTGCTGTACATGACGACCACAAAGGCCGCATGACTTATATACAGCTTTTCCGACCTGAACTTTAAGAATTCGGAACATAGCCGAATCTCTCCGAGCCGCCGATCGACTTATCGGTAGGCCGACCTTGGTCAAACCGACCTCGGTCCTATTCCCCATTCAGAGAGGATGCCTCGGCATTTGCAATCGCAACAGTGCCTCTCTATCCCTAACGGATGGATACGAGTCGGAAGTAGGTGTTTAACCGTGCTTATCCGACCTCGGTGAATGTAACCGGTTACGACGGGTAACTCGGGAACCGATGCCCCGGACCCAACTTACCGGATGAAAGTGGACCCCGTGGAGACTCAATCGCCCCGTGGATGTCATCCTAGTCGGAATAGGACCCCCGGACAGATTTTTTTTAGCATTTTTCCTAACAAACGGAATTGTATTTTTCTAGTTCGATCTCTTTGATAGATCTGTTTTGTAACCCCTTTTGCTCACTGGAATTGTGATTAAACTTTATTTCATATTTTTCTTTCGCGCTGCATAAACTTTCATTACGTTTCTTTTCACATTGTTCTCCGATGCCAACAGAAGCAAGAAGCCAGCCAACAGATGCATCACCGGTCCAACGAAACGCCCGAGCGGCTTCCGGATTTCTCGGCCGTGAGTGGCTTCCACTCATGGGTTCGGAAGTGAAGAAGGGACGGTCAACCAGACACCGGACTCCCACTGCCAGAGGACGCGTACCGGTGACCCCACATGGGTCCAACCGGAGAGTTGTGCGGTACTGGTGCGGTACCGAGTCGGAGCATCCTTCGCAGGAGCTCGGATTCCCGCCCAGAGGCATGTCAGAGGCGTACGACTGCGCCTGGTGCGTACGGTCCACATAGGACGTACTTGCACCCATTGCATGCCGTTATCGCCTCTCTCGCTGTACGTACGTGTGCTGCTGCACTGCACTCATCCGCTGAAGCGGATATACGCAGCGCATACACTGAGCCACACTTGCTCTCTCGTTCCTCTCTCGCAGTATGACTCAGCGTTCATACGCTCGCGTTGGATAGAGTCCAGTCTGCGCATCATCACACAGCTGATGGCACACAGCACGTGGTTGCCGCCAGTTGCTTCTTTCACGCCATCAGACGCTCAAGAACCACTTTAGCATCCACTTGCTAGATTTAGCCATCAGTGCTTTGTTCTTGCTTTCCTGCTATCACGCAGCGTTGTTCCCCTTTATTTGTACAATAAAGCTCACTCGTGATCTCCTCGTGCTTGTCTGTTACATACAGACCGTCTGGCCATCGTGGTTTCTCTGTGAATAGAAAATTAACGCTTGACTGAACTTGAAAAAAAACATTTCTTCGAATCTGCAGTAACTTTGCATATCCTTCCAGAAATTCCATATTATAAGTATTAAGTAGCCTTGCTATAAAAATTTGATTTCTTCGTTAGTTATGTCACAACAACCAATCAACCGTTTTCGGTCACAACAACCGAAGCATTTTCGTATAATTTTTTGATAGATCTTCCGCACATCATGCAGACAAAGAGCAAACAAAAACGGGTCCATAACTGCCTGCAAGGAATACGCCAGCGACGCCATGCGAATCAGCCATGGCGGGATCACGAAATCCGTCAGACTTAGCAACACTCGCAGAACATTGTTGGGTGTCCATAAGACGAGGAAGCTGGTGGTCATCGCTGTAAGTGCCAACAAAGCGTATGACTGATTTTTGCGCCAAGTAGCCCCAGACAAAGCATGCGCATGCGGACGACTGGAGGTATTTCCGATAGCCGGGTATAGCTTGCGACTGCGCCATGCATTAATGCCGATAATGCACGGAAAAGATAACAGTACAATCGCGGTGGGGACGTAGAAAATCAAAGACATGTAGTACACTAGTGAAAGCCCTGCTTCCGTAATCTTCACTACGCACGAGATTTGGAGATCGCTCCGTAAGAGAAAGGAATTCCGTAAAATAATCGGCAAGCAGAGCGCGTGTATTGACAGCCATAGCACAATGCAGGTATAAATGGCAAATTTAAAAGAGTGGTAGCTGCGATAGGTCAACGGTGAACTGATCGCCCACAATCGATTTAAAGAAATGCAAACATGGGAGTATGTCGACACACCTTGCAGCACCAAAGCACCGTACAGATAAACATCGCACGCCGATTGCCCCATCCACCACGTTCGTGTAAAGTTCAGCGTGGCTTCCAACGGAAGAACGCAAACACACCAGCAAAACAGGTTACTAATCATGAGATTGATGACATAAACGACAAAACCGTTGATCAGGTTTCGGTTGGTTAGGAATGTCACAAGAAGTGTGCCGTTCAAGATTAGAATGGGTAGATATACGGCAGCGTCTCTAATTGCACTAAAAGCTCTGCGGTCCATACCTGCCGCATTTTGACTGCTTGATATCATCGAGGAATCGTTCTGTATAGGGAGAGACAATGTCATGTTGAAATAGTCCTTCATATTGGTGGTGTTGGAACGGGACTGACTGATCTTTGCGCTGAGTGATCGCGCTAGCGCAATTGGGAACATCTGATCATAAAATTAACTCAAAATGATAGAACAACGTAATTGGTTTGCTAGTGGACACGTTCTCCACACTGATGATCATGGAAACCGGATGCTTTATTTTAAATGAATGTTGTAATTGTTATGGCGTTGCATTTTTAAATCAATGCATCTTGCACGCACTTTTGATATTTCTGGAGCTCGCTCTTCCGGGAATAAGGGCAGTGATTTATGGCGTATATACACTCATGGTGGGCGAGTGCGTTCTGCATGTCATAATGCAACTACAGATACCCAAACGGCGTGGGATGCGCATCACAATCGAAGTGATTCAAGTATCCAGTATCCGCATTCAAACAACTTTACCGGAAACAATCAATGCCAGCAAATTAAGCAGGCAAGCACTGTCTGACTTCTGGAAATTAGGGAATCCGGATATCAGCTATGATTTAGTGGATGAGCCCTATTTTTGGGGGCGAGTGGGACCAGAACAGTCCTAATCAGTTTTTAATCAATTTGCCGAATACAGGCGCACGAAATTTTCCTCATCCTATATCTCTTCAAATGTCTGGAACTGTGATCTACGTTCGAAAATTGATCGTCCTTGGTGCACACAAGAATGATTTCAGGAGAAGCGGTCGTTGTTGGTTCTAATTTCTAATTATACAAGTAGGTTATGACACAACCCAGGCGGACTGTACAAGCCGGATACTGGGTGCCGCGTACTGCGACAACTGCCGCACGTATTGCCGCAACTGGGCTTTACAGATACATTCCCGACATAAGCACTATCGACTGATTGCGTAAGCCACAAGGACGTGCCTGCGCTATTCTTAACACGGGAGAAATCGGACTGCCTTGCGACTGCTGCCGAACGACCAAAGATTTGTGCGAGTGCTGGGTCAACGGAGCCAGTACACAGGCTGGCGGTGAACCAGGAGGTTTCTCACCTT